AAAAAAAATATCCTTAAAAGCATGCTGTGAACAGATTTGAAAGAGAATGATTTATCAATATCATCAATGAAATTTGTAACATATATGAATTGGTCAACAAAGGGTTCTAGAATTGACTTTCAAATTGCACTTAAAAACTGGATCCCATTTTCTCAAAGTTAAAAAAAGTGACTGTTTTATTGTTGTTAAGTAAAATCAGTTATTGCAAGTACTGCAATAAAATATAGCTAACTAGATGATTATAAATAATTCTTGTCATTATTACTAATATATCATCAATATCATCAATATATAATTATCAAATTGTCAAAATAAGCACTGCTGCTCTCAACAATTGTAATGGCTATTGTCAATTGTTTTGTTTATTTTTGATATAATGGGATCGATTTTCTTAAATTTGCTAAATAAAGTTGATATTGAAAACCTCTATTTCAGTTTTTAATTAAAATTAAAATATTTTTAAACATTCTGTTTTTAACAATTTAAAATTTCTAGTGTGAAAAGTTTATTAAATAGTAAAATAACATATTCTGAAATCACACTATTTATTGCACACCCGGTATAGATTATCTTTTTTATTTTGTACATCAATTTCCTTATATAGAATATTCATTTTTGAAGGCAACGAATGCAAGTTTATTTTTTTTTTAATACTATATACAATTTTTTTAAAAAAAAATGGATAATTTAACAAAAAATCATCACAACTATTTAAAATCATTAAATTTATTGATAATAATTTTCAATTTATTTTTATTAGATAGTTTCAATTTTTTGGTTTCTGGTGTACGTCATCAAAGTTCAATAGTGTTAAATGATAAACTCTATTATTTTGGAGGAGATAATGGCTATTTATTTCTTATAAACCAAATAATTTGCCTAGATTTATCCACATCATTTTCACTTAATCAAACATTACCAATAAAACTAATTGTTCCAAAATCAGCAATACCTCCATTTAGTAGTGCATCATTAGCATTAGGAGGGGCTAATAATGACACACTTTATGTTATAGCTGGAGTTGGAGGTTGGGGGTTAGAACCTGGTTCTACAAGATATGGATCTATAGTTTATTCAATAAATACAAGTTCATTTGATACATGGACTCTAGAAACCCTAAATGGGCGATTACAATTAAATAAAGTTGGAATGACAATTTATACACAAGATAATTATGGAAACACATATATAGTTGCTGATGATGATCCAAATATATATAAATTCAATTCCAAAAGTTTGATATTTACAACCTTAACACCAAGTAATAGTGGTCCATCTATAACAAACATAGTTAACTTCAATTGTCATGTGTTGAATGATGAGACTATAATTTACCTTGATCTTTTTCCAACAACTAAAGTAATATTATAATCTATTCTTTTATTATTTAATTAAATATAGGTAATGAGAATGTTATATGTTTTATAATACATATTATATTTAGGTATACTTATATAATATTAATCAAAATTCATGGTTTAATATTGTAAGTTATATAATCATCAGTAATAATATTTTCAATTAAAAAGATATTAATAAATATTTTGTTATATTAGACAACAATTGGTGATATACCTTCTCCGCGTTGGGGTCATTCTTCAGTATTAGGTAATTAGTTTTATTATTAATTATATTATTTAATTAAATATTTTTTAATTTATATATACACATATTTAGCACCTGATGGAAGGATAATTGTGTATGGTGGTACTTCAAAATCAGACAAAATAGCAATATTGGATGTAACAAAATCTCCTTTCCAATGGACAGTTCCAACAAATATTACTAATTATCCTGTTAATCTAATTGATAGATACCATAGTTGCCACACTTCAAATTTGTATAAAAATTACATGATAATTTCATTTGGTAACCTATGATAATAATTTTTAAAATTCATACATACATAAATATATTATTTATTTATATTAATAACATTTATATTTAACAATAATAATAATAATAGGTTACATTATTGGTATTGGTAGTTATCCTAAAATATTATTATTAGATATTAGTGACAAATATAATTATAGATGGCTGGACACATTTGATCAATCAACTCCAATTGCTAATATAATTATTGGATCAGTTATATCCAGTGCAATCTTCATCATTGCTTTTATTGGGGTATATAGACATTCAGTATTGTACAATTTTATATTCCTGTACCGTATGATCTACAACCAAATTGAAAATTTGAAACAAAATACAGTATGTATATGTTTGATTCTATTAAAATTAATGAAAAAACATTCAACTCTGTCCTTAAATTTTAAAATCTTTTACCCTAGAACTAATTGTCAAATGTCCTCCTGCATATTCTACATTTCCAAAAATATGGGAGGCATTCATTTTACCAACAATCATTTTACTGATAGTTCATTTTACTGACAACTCGGGAGGTACATTTAACCTCCACACAACTAATAAAATGCTAAAATGGCGCACCACGTGTTATCAATGAAATGATTGTTGGTAAAGTAATATGTATGTACACCAAAAATATTGTTTTTTTTAAGCCATTTCATGTATGTTGAATGGTAATAATTAAAAAATGTAAATTTATCTTATCAATAAAAAAATCTATGTATAAACAGACACTTGACAATGATCGTTAACTAAAAAATGTAAAGATATTTTGACCTACATTCCATTTCTTAAATTTTTAAATTTTATTTCTTTTAAATAATTTGGTTCATAAGAAAATTATTTTATCTTTGTTGTGAAATTAAAGATATAATTGTGATTAGTGTTGCTAGCCAACTAGCTATAACCGCAACCAATGGTTTATATCTATCACTGACTAATGATTTTATATCTAGCCACAACCAATGAGTTTATATCTACACTTCCTGGTCATAAATATAAGGACACTTGCAGATCATCGGAAATAATTGAATAAAGAAACATGAAAAAAAATA